ATCTCTTCATTCAGTTGCTCCTTCTCCAAATCATAATGTTCCTAAACATATATTAAGTAATATTATGCATGTACTAAGAAGTTATAGGAGGGAGAAAATTCAGCAAATTGCCAAATTTCAGGTATTTTTTGGCTGGTTTTCATTTGGCAAAAGTGTGGCAATGCGCCATTCATAATCACTCCCACTAGTGACTGGCATAATGCTATTACTATTGTTATCAGTATAACACTTTGCCAAATTAAAACATCCAAAATTAGCCACTATAAAGGCATTACATGTACATGTACATGTCATTACTTTATTTTCCTTTATTGTCTGAGAAGTCCTCTACCTCTCCTTTTCTAATTTCTCTTTCCAGTCCCTTTCCTTCTCTTCCATTCTTTCCCTCACCAGTCTGCACTCTTCGTTCAGTTCTGAGACTCTCTCTTTCATCGTCTCGTCTACAGCAACTTCTGAACTCATGGAGACATTAAAACTCTACACATCAGAAGGTATCAGCAATAATATTAATACTAATAATATTACTACATTATTATTATTATTATTATTATTATTATTACTTGTTGCATTGATAGCTCTCCTTTCACTTTTTCTAGCTCATCAGTTAGCGATGATATCTTTGTTTTCGCTTGAGTTTTAAGTTTATTAAACTTTGACTCCGCTTTAATACTTAACTCCTGCAAAAACAACAAATAACAGTAACATACAATATAAGCTAAGAGTACAACGTACGGCACTGGTCAGCAATAAGTTGACAAACGAACGATCGCTGAACTAGAGTAAACTAGTTTGGTGAACGCAATAAAATGTGATAACATACAGATAAGCAGCCACATTAAGTTTGAATTTAAACAAGCTACATTTGCCAGAGATTGTGGTAACATCTGAGCATGGATAATGTTAGTTTACAACTAGTATGTTTCTATGAAAACAATAAACTATAGCAAACTCAAACGCAACTTAAACGCAAAACGTGTCAACTTATTACTGACCAGTGCTGTATACATATATCTGTTGTGTATACTTTTAATTCTTTGTCCTTTTCAATTAGCTGTGTTTGTAATTTTGTCACATCACTCGGCAACTGACTTTGTTCCCGTAGCTTTGACAACTCTTCCTACACAGAAAAAAACACATGTACATGTACTACGATGGTGGGCGGGGTCACCGACCTCTTTCTCTCTCAGGAGGCGCGAATATTCTAAATTTAGTAACTGGTTCTGTTGCTCCGCCTCTTTTAGTGCTGCTGCTAGATCGACACCTTTTGGAGCCTCTGACGATTGGTCAGTGGTCACATTATCATCATCAGGGTGGGAGGTGTCTGTGCTTTTCTGCTCATCCCCTTCCTAATTATTACATGTAGTTTATTTTGAGTGAAGTGTGCGTGTTATTTTACTTCTCCCAATGCTTTATCTAGCTTTTCTTGGACTATTTGAAAGCCAGCAGACACTGCATTCCACATGGACATCTTTTACAGCTCTTTTCGAGGCCCTTTGCTTTTTTCCATTAATTTTCCAATTTTACCTGTAGTTTTGTTTTGTTACTTATAATTAGAACATTTGCGGTAAGATAAGCTCTGCCTGTTCACAGTTCATAATAAGCTAGTATTTGTAACAAAAATAACTAAAATGAATACAAGTTATAACAACAACAAACAAACAAACAAAATGAACATGATTTGCTGTGTGTGTCTCCAAGAAAAAGTAAAACTTATGGTTTCAATTTTTCTAGTTTCTACCTCTTATCCTAACTATTAAAATCAATACGGTTTAGCCTTCTGTTTTCAGTTGTTGCACTACAAGGTATTCTATTCACTATCTTAAGAGGTAACAGAGATATTTTTCTGTTGTTTATTAGGTTCAAAGCATACTGATAGCTCAG